TTTAATCTCTGACAAAATAGACTTTAAGACAAGAACCAGTATAAGAAATAAAGAAAGACATTATATCATGATTAAAGGGTCAATTGATCAAGAGAACATAACCATAATGAATATCTCAGCCCCCCGTGAAAGTGCCTCAAAATGCATAAATCAAAGTATAATAGAGCTCTAATAAAACTAAAGAAAGAATAGATAACTCTACAATAATAGTAGATTTTTTTATACCACTTTTTATGAAGGACAGAGCAACTAGGAAAAAGACTCAACAAAGATATAGAAGAACTAAACAACACATGAACCAACTTGACCTCATAGTCATATACAGAGCACTCAACCCAGCAACAGCAGCACAATATATATTCCAGTGTGCATAGAACATTCTCTAGAAAGTCCACAGTTCAAACCTCAATAAATTAAAAACATCAAAATTCTACAAAGCATCTTTTCAGATCACAGTGTGATAAAATTAGAAATCAACAACAGAATGATCAAGGGAACAAAATCAAAATACATGGAACATGAACAACACCCTGGGTAATGTTGTTGTTATTAAGTGCTGTCAAACTGATTCTGACTACTAGTGATCTGGAGTCCTGGTGTGGCGCTGTGGGTTAATGCGCCAGATTGCAAAGCCATTTGAAATGCAAGGTCGGTGGTTCAAGCTCACCAGCCGCTCCTTGGAAACCCTATTCAAGGTTGCTATGGATCGGAACTGAGTTGATGGCACTTAACAATAACAACAACTACACTAGTGACCCTGTATAGGGTTTCTGAGGAGCAGCTGATAGGGTTGAACTGCCACCTTGTCGTTGAAACTGACCTTGTAGTCCAGTGCATATCCTTCGGTGCCATACCAGGACTGCACTGGTTAATAGAGCAAATAAAAAAATTCCTTGAGTCAAATGAGAATGAAAACACAACTTACCAAAACCTCTGGCACACAGCAAAAGCAGTGCTCAGCAGACAATTTATAGCAATAAATGCGCACAACCAAAACAACCAAAATCAACCTTAACTGAACATCTCCAACAATTAGAAAAGTTGCAGCAAAGAAAGCCTACTGCCATCAGAAGAAAAACAAGGTTAGAGCAGAAATAAACGAAGTAGAAAATTAAAAAACAATGGAAGAATCAAAACAACAAGAAGTTGGTTCTTCGAAAGGATTAATAAAATTGACAAACCATTGGCAAACCTAACAAAAGAGGAGAAGATACAAATAACATGAATAAGAAATGATATGGGTGACATCACGACAGAACCATTGGAGATAAAAAGGGTAATAACAGAATTATACTCCAACAAATTTGAAAGCCTAGAAGAAATGGACAAATTTCTAGAAACACACAACCTACCTCAACTAATATAAGCTGAAGTAGGAAACTTGAACAGGTGTACAACAAGAGAAGAAATTGATCAAGTCATTAAAAAACTCCCAACAAAAAAAGTCCAGATGGCTTTACTAGTCAAGTATACCAAACATTCAGAGAAGAGCTGACACCATTTCTACTGAAACTATTCTTTATTATAGAAAAGGATAAAAAACAACTCCCTAACTCATTTTATGAAGTAAGCATAACTCTGATCCCTAACAAAGAAAATTATATCCCTCATGAACATAGATTCAAAAATTCTCAACAAAATCCTAGCAAATAAAATCCAACAATACATTTTAAAAAAAAGTAATACATCATGAACAAGTAGCATTCATACCAAAAATGCAGGATGGTTCAGTATAAAAAAATACAATCAACATAATCCACCACATAAATAGAACAAAGGAAAAAAATCCCATGATCATATCAATTGATGCAGAAAAGGCATTTATCAAAATCTGACACTCATTCCTGATAAAAATACTCAACAAAGTAGAAAAAGAGGGGAAATGCCTCAATATAATTAAGGTTATATATATCAAACCAACAGTCAACACCACACTCAGTGGTTTGAAACTGAACTAATTGCCCCTGCGAACAGGAACCAGACATGGATGCCTTTTTATCACCATTCCTATTCAGTATTGTGCTGGAAGTCTTAGCCAAAGCTATAAGGCAAGAAAAGGAAATTAAAGCATCCAAATTGACGAAGAAGTAAAACTCAATTTGTAAACGATATGATTCTATACTTAGAAAATCTCAAAGACTCCTTAAGAAAATTATTGGAACTTGTTGATAGATTTGGCAAAGTGCAGGATACAAGACCAACATATAAAAATCAGTTGGTTTCCTTTACACTAATAAAGAGAGCTTTGAAAGGAAATCAGGAAATCAATACAATTTACAATAGTCCTCCAAAAGATGAAATACTTGGGAATATAAATCTAACCAGAGGAACAAAATACCTATAGAAAGAAAATTGCTGGATTATATGAAGAACATGGCAGCCAGATCGGAGGACAACTCACTAACAACCTGTGATATGCAGATGATATAACTTTGCTTGCTGAAAGTGGTAAGGACTTAAAATACTTACTGATGAAGTTCAAAGACCACATTGCGCCTCAATTTAAAGATAACAAAAGTCCTCAGTACTGGTCCTATAAATAACATCATGGAGAAACGATTGAGGTTATCAAAGACTTCATTTTGCTTGGATTCATCATCAACACTCAGAAGCAGCAGTCAACAAATCAAACAACGTGTTGCATTAGGTGAATCTGCTGCACAAGACCTGTTTAAAGTGTTCAAGAGCAAAGATGTCAGTTTGAGGGCTAAGGTGCACCCAACCCAGACCATGGTATTTTCAATAGCTTCATAGGCACGTGAAGTTGGTCAATGTATAAGAAAGACTTTAGAAGTATTGTTGCATTTGAGTTACAGTGTTGGACAAGAATATTAAAGGTACCATGGACTACCAGAAGAGCAAACAAGTCTGTGTTGGAAAGAAGTACAACCAGAATGCTCCTTAGAGGCCAAGATGGCTAGAGTTCGTGTCTCATACTTTGGACATATTATCAGGAAGGACAAGTCCCTGGAAAGAAATATCATGTTTGGTAAAGTGGAGGGACAACTGAAAATAGTGAGAACCCCAACAAGATGGATTAGCACAGTGACAGCAACAGTGGGCTCAGACATAGCAGCAATTGTGAGGATGGCGTAGAACTAGGCTGTGTTTCGTTTTGTACATAGGGTCACTTTGGGTCAGAACCAACTCAAGGACACCTAACAACAACAACTTCCACTGACTTGATACTCCTAGTTGTAAGTGACTAAACACATTCCTTTTGCTCTTGTTTGTCGTTAAGTGCTATGGCGTTGGTTCTGACTCATACTGACCCAGAAAAGGGTTTCCAAGTCTATCAGTCTTTGCAGGCATAGATAGTCATATCCTTCTCCTGCGGTGCTACTGTTGGGCTTGAACCACTGATCTTGTGGTTCTCAATATTCTTATCCTACAGAGCTTACTGCCACTTCTTGTTGTTAAGTGCCGTCAAGTCAGTTCTGACTCATAGCGACCCTGTATAGGGTTTCTGAGGAGTATCTGGGGAGTTTGAACTGCCAACCTTGTGGTTCAAGTTGGCCTTGCAGTCCTAGACTCTACTAGGAGAAAGGAAATAATAAAGGTTAGAGCAGAAATAAATAAAATAGAAAATAATTCATCCAGTTATCTGACTTGGCCTTCCTAGCGTAGAGATTGCTAAAAGGACTGTTGGGTAGAATGAGTTTTCAGGAGGAGAGAAAATTAAATTAGAGGGTTATTGCCCGTGTTAGTATGTATCATGGAGGTATATGATAGAGGCCCTGTTCTTTCTGATTTGTAGGAGAACATTACCTTTTTGTCTTAGGAGTGATGCCTAACACTATAAATATACATGCAGACACACATGAGAAGGGGCTTCAAACGTTAATGGAAAACTACAATTTTTTATTTTATTTTTCCATGAATATTTTGAAAACTCCTTATATAAAGTCACCCAATCAAAAAGCTTTTCTTGGAGACCCTGTGCTTTTAAAATTTTACTTCTGCAAGGTTTTCTAGTCAGTACCATTCAGCACTCTTAAGTGACTTTTGGATACACCTAATGAGCCCTCGTATGGTGCTGTAGGATAAGCATTGGACCACAAGGTCAGTTTGAACCTAGAGGTCAGGGATTCAAACCCATCAATCACTCCTTGCCAAACCTTATACAGGATTTCTATGCGTTATAATAGACTGGATGTTATTTAACAACAACAACAAGGGTTTAATGATTTTCATGCTTTTCTTCTCTGTTGCTTTGGGACCATTCCAAAACCATACTACTTCTGAGTTCCTGCAGCTACCCTTTGAAATTCTTAACAACTGTATTGATTCACTCATAATGGTCTTTATGCATTGATTAAAATTCTGTATTACTGTTTCATATCAAAACGCATTTATTAATTTGTGCTTCAGGTTTCATTTGTGAACAGAAACTGAGAGAGTGGATGGGAGAGCAGTGTTCACCTGTTAGAATTTTCTTTGCCTAGCCCCAGAGGACAAAAGTGCAGACTTAGATTGATTATATAGCAGTGCTGCTATTTCATTCATTGGCACCATTAATCTGAATTCTTGTCTGCTCTTGCTGGAATTTTACTGTTTTATTTAATGACTTCATTATCAGCTTGCTTAATGTGCTCAAAAACAAAATTTTTGATAGCTTTTCTCTGGGCTTTATTTTAAAAAATAATGTAATAATGACCAGAAGACAAGAATGAGACTGATTATAGAAATTGGCACCTAGTGACAGGGTTGCTAAATATGTGTAACAATTGAGCTTTGAAAAGTGTGGGTTGTTAAGGTAAAAGGCAGTTATTTGACTGAAACATCCTTAAGTAGAGATGTCCTTAGTTTTTTGTTTATAATTTATATAGGATATTCGCTCTTATCTAGCATAGTAACAGATTGAAGAATAGTGTTCATATTAGCTCTTTACAGCTAGTTCTAGGGTACTTTTCTTCCCTTTGTGTTTAATTGTTTTGGAGGCAAGGAGAATGAAAGAGGTGTTAAAATTTAACAGTTCTTCTTTATTGTTTTCTTTCTAGGTGCATGTTATTATGATGCTAATCAGTCTATGTACGTGTTTGGAGGCTGTACCCAGAGCAGCTGCAATGCTGCCTTCAATGACCTCTGGAGACTTGACTTAAATAGCAAAGAGTGGATCCGACCTTTGGCTTCAGGTAAGACTTCAAATGCTGTTCTTTCCCATTCATTTACTGAATAAACTCCCTTGGTACAGAGAAATTACCAGGCCCTTTTTTTGGTATTAGTATCAAGGACCAGGTTCTTTGTCAAGTGTGCTGTGGACCTTTGATTTGGTCATGGGTGGTGG